ACCCTCAACGCTACGAAGAAGAAGAAGTATGTATGTGTGTATGTGTGTATGTGTATATATATATATATATTTATGTATACTCATTCGGCTGTCCAATCCCACTTCCACCACCTGCTACATGAACAGTGCACTGCTCGCCATTCTGCATGTGGTGCAATGCTTCCAACCGGTGCATGAGGATGCTTGAAACAACAAGCTGGATTGCTTGACATCAGTCGTTATATGCCTTGGATGCTGCTCATTAGCCCTTGGGTGCGTCCTTTTCAGAAACACGATGTGGCTAAGCTTCTCCAACATGTTGTTCCCAGTCTACGCATCCCCGTCTTTCAGGGGCACTGGCAAGCTCGATGTTTTGAGGCGGGAGCTCTACGTGTGAAGGACTCTAGACCAGTTTCATGTCCCCTTCCAATGCCGTTTCAGGATGCTGCTACATTGCAGCACTGCATTGACCAGTGGCATTCCCAGCGCTCATCTGCACTGCATGCCTTTGGCCCTGATGTCGCTGTCGTGACTCTTCAGCTCTTGAGGTTCAATGCTGTGGGTAGGGGGAGATGGAAGCAGATTGCGAAATCCTCAGCTATGCTGCACGGGGTGCTGGATGATATTCTGGTACCATTTTACTGTCATGCGTCTCTACCCTGCAGTGTGAATACCGGCATTTTCAGGTGGCTTCCATTATTGTCCACTTTGGGGAGAAAGCTGACTCTGGTCACTATCGCTGCCTGTGGCGGAGAAAGCAGAAGCTCTGGATCACTAATGATGGTGTTGGAGCAACTGAGTGTTCATCCTCTGACGTTGCTGCATTGCCTGGTCAATCATACTTGGTGTGGCTTGTGAAAGCCGACTGACTCAGGTCAGATGGATCCTTCGATGAGTGTTTCTAGTGATTTCAACAATGCACTGACGGCCATTGTGGCCTGGTGCACATGCTGTACTTCAGCACCCTTCTGAAGTGCCGAAGCTCAAAGAGCTTTGCTACTGTCCCGCCAGGCGAATCTCGACTCGCTGCGTCCGGAAGAAGTGTATATATGATGCAGGGCTGCCACACCACACCCCCCCTCCCCCCCCCACCCCATGGTGTCCCCCCTTCCCCCCCAACCCCCGCCCCCCCTGTGGGGTGGGACCTGTGGTGGCATCCCCGCCCTGAGCTGAGAGTTTGGTTGGCCTGTTCGCAGTTGTGCCTGCCGGTGATACTGCTCATGGCTCGCGAGTCGACCAGATCATCTTTGACATCATGCTGAANNNNATGGCTGCCACCATCACCATGGCCATGCAACCCTCATAATTAAGCATTGTAATTCATGTCTGATGCGCAGATAGCTGCTCTCCTCACGGAGCAGGGGTTGGGTACCATAGGGGCCCCCAATCCGCAGCAGAGGCCAACTGGCAGTGGCATGGGTTACCATGACCATGCAGGAGAGGGGGGGGTGGTGGCCCGGGACCCGAGAGCGTATGATGCAGGGCTGCCACACCCCCCCCTCCCCCCCACTCGGGTGTGGGGTCCCTCTTCCCCCGTGGTATGGTTGTGGGGTTTAGGGTTTAGCTCAAGCTGTTGAGTTTGGTGTTTGTGTATAGGTATGTATGTATGTATGTATGTACACGGTACATACAAGTACATATGCAAACATTGAGGTTCTTAAGGATGTCCGGCATGACACCCAGCATGACTGGAAGATTTCTGAGACAGGCACCAAACGTAAATGCAGACTATTGGCATATTCCGATGATGCTGACGTTAGGTTCAGGGTTGCACTTCGGCTGAGCTGTGGGAAATTAGATAGGTTGCATTGTGTTACCTCAGCGTATGGGCAGTGTTTTCCGGATGGCAGATGCCAGCTTGTAAGTATTGGCCCACTTTATCTACACTGTTGTCTCGTAACATGACTCGTGTCAGGATTGCATGCCTTTTCAGGCGTGGCCGTCTGTTCGGCAGAAGCATGAAAGAGGAAGTTGCAGTGATGAGGGACTATCGGGGCCCTGACATGCGCAGCTTCCCCCAAAATCTAGAGTCTAGAGGCTCTTCGGTTGTGTGTGTCTCTCTCTCTCTCTCTGCCGTTGTATAAGGGTTTTTGTAACTATTCTATAGGTTATAACGTACTGCGACAGACATGCACGCATGTCGAGTTCTTCAGTGAATGCTCTGAACCCCGGGGGTTTGTAGGTGGCTTGACTCAATCAACCATTGTGTCCACGTGCGTTTTCTTAGCTTTGACAACGAGTCTAGGAACCGGACACGCTGGGCAAGGCGCAGCGGTCGAAGGTGCTGGCCGGACCGGGAGGAGGTGGCCTCAGTGGTCCGACCTCGGCAGGACTAAAACAATCCCATCTCGAACGAAACCCTGGTCTCGGTCCGACCGGGCCCGTGATCATCAAATTGTCTGCTGTTGCATTAGAAGCGTTCATGCCACTGCTGCGATAATTGCGCCAACGCACGACCGTCCTGTCTCCCGCTCGCTCCCTTCCGGTCCGGTCCGGTTACATCAGACCCCGCAGCACCTGCGCGTTGGCAATTTGGCGGAGCAGCTGTTCCTGTGTATTCGCAGGAGTAAACATTGCACGCAAATCAGCCAGTACATGTGTGTTCTTAGAAAAGAAACGGCACATGCTTGGCGAGTGCTCACGATGCTCCTTCTCTTGCAGCTCCTCCGCGTAGCTTTGGAGATCACCTTTTGCATCCAGGCCTATTGCAGCTGCCGGGTACCCCACCTGAATCTGGCAACTAGGACTAGGAACGAGCCCGAAGGAGCGGGTCTGATCCGGTAATGAAAGCTAAGTGCGCTCGAAGCGCTGCCAGAGATGCCCAGGTAAACCCCGCCATTCGTGCAGGCAGCTCGCCTCTGCTCACAACTGAACGACTGCAACGTGCCAGCTTTGATCCCGAAGAGTTTACAGCTTGCCTTCTTCCGTCTACGAAAAAGTCAATGCTTTCGGCCGTCCTGTTAGGCTGCGCTGGCATCTCTCAGTTTCCTTCCCAAAGGTCCACACCCGTTCTCAATGCCTCAATTGCTGGGGTCAGGCAAGGCACACCTCCACCAGTTCTGCATGAACCGCAGCAAGCCGACTGGAGAAGTCCATGGAAAGACGATATAATTTTACGACTCAGGTGTTGTTTTGTTGTCAGGATGCACAGGTTGATCCATGACATCAGCCTAATGATCTGCCTCTGGCAGCTGAACCTAGTTCTCAAAACAATCGTTGCTGGACTGGGGTGCCTACACTGTCAGCACAATTCGGCGACCCCAACACAGCACCTTGACTGGAAAAGCTGCAGCATCTCGCCAGTCCCTTTTACCATTGGCACGTGTGCAACAGGGGAGAACGCTAGTGGTCCCTGCTGAAGAATGGCACGCAAACCTTTTTGGGGCGGACGGGCAGAAGGGTCCTTTTCTTCACTGCCAGAAGCCTTTGCCCTCGGCTTGGCCTTTGATACCCTTCGACATAGCCATAGCCGCCATAGCCATAGACTTTCCGTCTTTTCCTTCCTTGGCCCCTTTACCATCTCCTTCTCTTGTGCTCCACCTTGTGTCCTTGCCAGCTCGTGCTTGGCCGGCATCTTCTCCATGTCGTGGCCCCTTCTGACCACGCCAGCCTGGGTATGCCGTGCTCTGCACAAACTCTGCACCCGTCGGACCCTTGCCATAAGCTCCGGGGGCATACCACGACCTGCCACTCCCACCTGTCCCACTTGTCCCACTCCACCGGTCGCCTCTTCTGTCCCTGTCGGCCCTGTCGGCCCTGTCGGCCCTGTCCCTATCGGCCCTTTCGACCAAAGTTGGAAACGCCCGTTGCTTCTCGAGGGTGTAGATCGACCGGGGTGGAGCTGGCTTGTCACCTCGGATGATTGCAGGCCCACGGCCGCATGAGTCTAGACAGTGTGGGTTGAGGTAAGAAACAGAACAGCTCACGCAAGCGTTGAATGTCATCGCCAGGCCCTTCCGACAGGAGGTGGTATGCGCGCCTCTGCTGAAACTTCACATGAAGCGAAGTGCGTGGCTGCATGCGATGGCACACGGATGTGAGACGCTGCTCTTGCGGGCACCTCCACTCATAGCAAAGACGTTCGAATCCCTGGAAGCTCGCACCTGCAGCCGGCAGCGGTTGCAAATTCGCTCTGTTTCGCCGAGGCACCCCACCGTCTTTTTAGGGGGCTCCGATGCCAGGCCTAGGGATCGTCCCAGCTCCATGGGGTCATCGATGCACAGCGTTTGCCGTGTAGACATCGCCTGCTGCAGTTCGTGTTGCTCTGCGGGGAGCCTGTACTTCTGCGAGAGATCCTGAGAGAACTCACAAACTCCAAGGATGCGAACGCATGGCAGCCATTCTCACGGCCAAGGCACCGCAGGAACCTCTGGTTCCAAACTCTGCGGGAGAGCGTTCGCGCTCAGGAGCTCCTTGCCGAGGTCCTTGGCGAGGCGAGGAGTGCAAAAGCGGCTCTCCCTAGCGCAGCACATGGCTGCTTTGGCTGCCTCTGCATCCTCCTCTTGCGCTTCTTGCACTTCTTGTTCTTCTTGTTCTTCGGGATCTTCGTGCTCATGCTCTGGCACCTTCTCCAGCTCGCAGTCGTGCTCCTGCCAAGCTACAAAGAGAGTCTCGTTAAGGGCCCCATCAAAGAAAGCTCCCCAGGCCTCGACAGTGTCGAGAGGCTCCAAAACAGGTTCAACAGGATCCTGTCCCAAAGCCTTCTTTCTCTGTAGCCTGGGCTATCCAATAGCTCATGGACGGGCAAACCAAATCTATCCGCTATGAGGCTAAGCAGCATCTCTCTGAAGTAGACCTCCTTGTGGATCCGGCTGGGCATTCGGATGCTGAGGACATCGGAGTGGGCAGGAACTTCATAGGCCAAGTACCAGAAAAAGTTGGCCAGCCTTGGGACTTCGAATCTTCCCGTCGCCTGTTGCCTTTGTCATTCACGCTTTACGCTAGACTTGCTTTAGGTGAGCGTATGATGAAGACAAACGATCGGTGACCTCGACATCAGGGCTACATGCACGACCGACTGTCCTGCATGTATCTCAATCTCTGGCGAACTGCCTGTTACTGTTGGTTTTGCGCTTGTGCGACCTCGCAGCACAACCGTGGGCCTGACAAATGCTGCTATGTGGGCACGTGTGGTACTTCGATTGCTGAGTGATACTTGCGTCTTGTGCTGGGAAACTTAATCTGCCCAATGGAGACAGAACTGGCGATGAGTCACTTCCTGCAAGCCTGCATAATTAAACTGAAGGAGCTTTGGCGGCAGAATCCCTTCTGATGGCATCCGTCTGCAACAACCTGTAGTCGAAATCCAATTTCTGAACACTCGCACAGAAGGTGAGGATCGAAAGCAGTTAGCTCCTGCGCAGCTGGTTGGATCCGCTTGGACATGACAGTCTGGGTTTAGTTCGTATGCCTCCTGCCAGCGGCCTTACTTACCTACTTCATGCTGGCTGCTGCTAAATACTGCCGCGCGCTGCTCACCAATCTTTGCCGGTCTTGCGTGAATGAGCTTCTCCTGCTTCTGAGGGCTGCTGTTTCCCGCATCGTGCTCTTCTCGCGAATGACGTTGTGAACCAGTAACTGGTCTGTGGGCCAGGGCTGCTGGCAACCCCAGTGCGCTTCTTGTCAAGACTTGCGCCCCAAGGGGTGGGGGGACGAAAGTTCGCTGCTGCACGGCCAAGGCGGAAGCTGCGGAGCAGCCAAGACAGACGCCTAGCTTTGATTCGGCCAGCTCGACACCTGTGGCAAGAGGCTGAGACGGGGTTTCGGATTGAGGCTTTATATAGGGCTTAGGGAACAAGAGTGTAGGGTTTGCACTCTACGGTTGAGGCAATTAGGGTTCAGGGTTTGGACTTTCCTGGCTAGCGAGCAGAGTCCCGGAGGTAAAGCGGGTTTATATCCAGGGTTGATATTTAGCTGGGTGTGTGAAGTGCTCCGAGTTTAACATCGACTATTTTGCACGCCTACACCCAGGACCTGGACTGCCAGGTCTTGTTTTTCATTTCTAGAATCTTGCGGAAGTGTCAGTGGTCTTGCATAGAGTAGCTGAAGGATGTGATGACGATGAGGCCTTTCATGAAACATCTTGCACACAACCAACAGAGAACAATAGACCCACAAACAATGAAATACCTCGGCTCCGGTTTCTACCTGCGAAATGGACTTGTTGCCGCCGAGCCGACGTCCTAGAAAGTGTACGCACGCACCTAGGTACGAACTGACTTACGCAGGGACTAACCTAGCTGTATGCCTTCCCATTTATCTGCCATGCCTCGGCTAACGAGCAGAGTCCTGGATGCAAAACGGGCTTAACTCTAGGGTTTATATTTCTCTGGGCGTATCAAGCTTCCCGAGTTTTACGTCGAATACCGGAACACCTCAGGACCTGGCTTCCAGGTCTTGTTTTTATTCTCAAAATCTTTTGTCTGAATTTGCAGGAACGAGCGTTTCAGGCGTTCTAGAAGAATGGAACCGCCGTCTTCACGGCCCCTTGCTCCCCAGGACGAGCATCATGAGCATCATGGGGGTCCTGTTTCTCCAAATAGACGGGGATTCTCAAAAACAGAGGCGAGTGGTACACTTTTGGGCCCCTTCCACTCCCCAGACCCCTGTAGCACAAAGCTGGGTTTTGAACTCAAGCTTCCCAGAGGGGAGCTTTCATGACTTTGGCCCCCAACACGGGCTTCTTACTGACGTTCTTGAGACCATGCTGCCCTGTGGGATGCTGCTGTTGATGTCTAGTCCCTTCCGCTGTTCGTACCAATTTTGTGGAGCCCCAGTGGCCCCTGTCCTGTGTCTGTGGGCTGCTGCTAGTGACGGCGCATAGGTTGGGGTTGCGCCCTTACCAATTGTCTTGGCCCCTCGCGTCCTTCGTTGGTTTCCCCTTTGTACTGCTTGCGCGGACTAGTCACTTTTCCGCCCCTGCGGGCAAGGCGTGCCGTCAAAACACTGTACAAAACTAGGTACACACACTGTACGCGCTGCACAATGGGTCCGTTTTACTTTGCTTGTTCAGGCGGCTGCGATAGTGACGGCTAGTGGATCCTAATCGAGCGTGCGGTTTGCCTCTATACTTGCTAGAAGTACGTCCTGAATTTCGAGCCGTTTTCCTTCTTCGGAGGCTCCTGCCCTCCCTGTTCACAAAGATTGCAATGACTATAAGGCCTTCGGTTAGCCCCTCCCACGGGCTTTTCCTCTTTCTCAAAGTCTCCGATCCCCTTCGAACGGTTTGCTCCTCGCTCCCTCTCGATCGATCGGCTTACCTTTTTGTCGGAAACATTCGTTCGTTCTGCAACTCTGTTAATGCAGTCCTTCTCGTGTGGCCCCTCTCAAAACGGTTTATGTCCCCGGGAAGCGTGTGCTGGCAAGTCACAAGCCTCTGAGAGTGGCTCCCACAGGAGACCTGGAAGCCCAGTTCTTCCAACGCTCTGAGGATTGGGGAAGGCGTCCAGGATCCAAGAACCAGACATCATGCACCTCGGAACACCAGATGGATCGCATGTCCGATTGAACGCGACGGAAGGATGCTCTCTACAAGGCAAGCCAAGCTCACCACGCCATCGAAAAGGTCGATGTCCCCGAACTTGGCCCGCTCCGCTGCATCCGGAATGCCACTGGTGTCTTGTAGATTCGGTAGAACAGCAACAGATTGAAGAAAATGTATCAGAAGCAGGCAATGAGAATAGGAAGACAAAGTACCTTCCAATGCATCGTTCACCATCCTTGGAAGCTGCTGGATAGAAAGCAATTGTTCGACTCGGTTTCGCCGAGCGTTTTGTAAAAACCCAGTACAAGTCGCAGCCAGTCTCCGGATGCCCAAACACTTAGACGGGGAGGTCAGGCGTATTTCTGTCGGCCTGCTTCCTGGTATAACTGTTCAGGAATGACTTTCTTCAATTCGCACAACTGGCAACCTCTTGGGCTCTTGGGAACACTCGATTCAGTAAAATTGCTCGGATGCTGCTGAAGCTCCTGATCACTGCCCTAATGGGAACACCTTCCTGACGTACACTTTTCAGCAGGGGCTTCACAAACCTCTAGCCTCCACACCCTTTGTTGTCCTTCGCCTTTCAGCTAGAGGGTTGACCCATACAGTAGGGCCCCGGAAAGAACCCTACGAGGCCACAAAAATCACACGAAAAAGATTGATGCATACGATCAACATTCTTTTACACATCAACTCTGAATCCTTTGTTGTCCCGTTCTTGCCATCTATTGGGCCTCCGGAAGCCAGCAAGATCGAGGAACCTCCGAGGTCACACGAAGAAGACCAAACCGATTGCAGAAGGGGGCCTCACACAATGCTTCCTGGGATGCAGCCCGCGCACCACGGAAAACACAATACTACCATAACCAAAATCGGACAACAGCTCTCAACCCTCTGTGGTCCTTGCATTTAAAGGCTTGACTTGCGGGGCCTCTGGAAGTGTATCAAATGGGTTCGTGATAAATTCAGGTCCCTGAAGACCCGCTTGCAAACCCTCTATTACCAGTACCACGAACACGACCACAACCACCATCGCCACGACTACGAGTCGCTTCATACTACTGCCACTACTACTCCTACCACCAGCTGGTGCTGCTCCAGCTACTACTACTGCTACTTCTACGGCTGCGGCTACAACTACTGCCTACTGCCGCGACTGCTACTGCTACTGCTACTACTACTACTACTACTACTACTAGCACTACGACGACGACTACTACTACATCTACTACTACTACTACTACTACTACTACGACTACTACTACATCTACTACTACCACTGCTACTACATCTACTACTGCTACTACTACTACTACTACTACTACTACTCCTGCTGCTACTACAACTATTACTACGACTAACCCTACTACTACTACTACTACTACTACAACTACTACTACTACTACTACTACTACTACTACTAGTATTACTACTACCGCTACGGCGCTGCAGCCCGAAGTGACGGACTCTAGCCCCATCCGTACACTCCGAAGCTTCAACAGAAGGCAGTATGGCTCCTGTCTGAGATGGCGAAGCTCGATCTGCCAAAATGGCAAGGTTCGCTTGAGGGTACAGTGCCCTGGGCTTTTGGGGTCTCTTCGGCTTTTGTTGTCATGGTGGTTTCAAGGAGGGTGACATAGACTTGACTGGCTTAACGTGTTTGCCTAAGCCGCAAGGCTTGCAGCCTTTCACCGTCGATACATTTCTGCGTGGGTTATAAGATTGGAGCGAGGCATAAAACAGTCGTTCAAGTTTCAGTCTTGAGACTGCGCAGTGCTGCTAGTCAGATAAGCGCTCGATTCTTGGTTGAAGCTCCAATGTATCTCCGTCGGGGTGTAGAGTTTGGAGGCTATTGTTTTTTCGGTCGAGTGTTCGAGCTGTCGGCGATCTCGAGGCTGCGGGTGTTTGCTACCAATGCCTCTTGTTTTTAGATCGTTTCGGGCCGTGGAGCTTTGGATTTGAATGCGAGTATTCTGGCTTCGAGGAGTCTTTGTGTTTAAAGCTGGTGGTCTGAGGGGTTTGGACTTGGGGGTTCAGGGTTTAGGGCCCGGGTCAAGACGGCGCCCGGATCTTCTAGATTCTAGAAATTGTTCGTCGTCAAGAGGAGAGGCCGTGACTGCAATGGCCCGACAGCCACACCGCCGAAATGAACTCCGCGATTGAGCATAGTATTGCAGAACCCTTCAGCCTGAAACCCTTCAATCCCACAACATCTCGAGGCGAGTTTCTACGATCAGAGTTTCCAGTCTCTAGTTTTGTGTTTTGCACCACCCGAAGTGGCCTGATGCCAAAAGGTGGGTTTTTCGCACAGGACTTGCACACCTTGTTCCTGGTTCATCCCTGTGCATGCTAGCGTAGCATGTGTCAGAGCAGGCCCCCATATTTCGACACATTTTCAGAGCCCTTTGGATCACCATGCAACGCCCACAGCAAAAGACTGTAAACCGTCTAGGCTCTGGACCAACCTTCAGCCCTACCAACCTAGCCAGGGCGGAACGCTCATTGGGCGTATTGCGCAGCACTGGACGGCGTTCCGAGCAAAGATCTTGCGCAGGCATTGTTCCAAGAGGTCGGACATGGGGTTCAGGGATTTAGGGCAACAAGATGGTACTAAGCCGCATGGGGCTAGCTTGGGGGCTTCGGTGCTTGGAATTTCTGTTGTTCGTTTAATTGCATCCGGCGTTCTCGAGCCTCAATTCTTTTTCTGAGACGACAGCTGGCAGATAAGTGCAGGCAGATCTCACCACAAGTGTCACACAAGCCCTCAACAAAAACAAACCCTTCCGCACCTGCAAGCCTGAAACCTTAAACACAAACTTTCACCAGGCAGTCGACCGCCAGATTTTTCCGCAGTTTGCCGAGATGGCACAGGCGAGACGAACACCTTGGTTGCCTTGTCTCCGGCAACTCACCACAAGTTGGGCCTCATAGTTTGGTGGTTTCCAAGGGCCCGGTTCAGACTTGCGCATTTCACGACTCCAGTGGCTGTTGCTGAACGACTTGTGTGTTATCAGGTTCTGAGACCTTATCTCAAGCCCAGCTGAAGCCCTTGCTAATCTAAGAGGGGCTGAAGAAATGTTGTGCAAAGCCCAGCTGGACTAGGAAGGCCTCTTCACCTCTTCATTTACTTCATGATAGCCAGGGCTGTCGCACCTTGGACCTCCACGGGCTCTCTGTTGGAGCTGCCGCGGCGGCTGTGTGCTGGTGGCTGCAGAGGCATGCTTGTTTGTTTGCTTCCTTAGGGTATCTTCAAGCCCTTTTTTGATGCTCATCCCAGCTGCCGTCTGCTAGGCTCCAGCATAGCTGGCATAGCTCACAATAGCCTTCAGGAGGCTTCACAGAACATGAAGCTGAGAAGACTTGACTGAAAGATCATGAACCCCACGCACCAAGCCCCAAACCCAGAGCGCAGAGCAAGGCATAAACCGTTTCGCGCGTTGCACGGCTGTGCTGCGAGAGGCTGCAAAAGCTTGCGGCCTCAAACCAGGACTTCCCTTTTTGACAAAGCCCTATATTTGTGGCATCCTTAAGTCGATGCGGTGACCCGTAATTTCTGGAACCAGCGCACATAAGGGCTGAGCTTGACAGATCTGGTACGTGAAGGGAATGTTGGGGTTGGGGCGGGTGCTTCGGTTCTTGGGCTTGAGGGCATGAAGCACGAGGGTCCTTTGGTCCCTGCTGTAGCATGCCCCTTGAAGACTCAAAGACCTTGCTGCTTGTCAAGGCCTACTGCCAATCTCAAGACAGCCGAACGTCCTGCGCCTCAAATCCTACACCCTGAATCAGAAGGAAAGTGCAGCAACCTTTGCCGGCCTTCAACAATATACTCTCTTTGGAACATACCAGAGAGGCCCTAAACGAAGGAAGCCCTTAAAGCGCATCCATAATTCCTGGATCCTGACACCCTCAAGTAGAGGAGTGCATCATCGTGACGGGCTGGGGACGCTCCCGACGGGATGGCATCTCGGCAAATTGCATTCCACGATTCTTCGCTCTCGACCTAGTTTCAGGGCTCGGGTGTGGGGTTGAGGGCTTGTTTATTCTTCATGGTTGTTGGGTGTTGCTTCCGAGGGCTTCAGGGTTTCTTTACGGAACGGCGGAATCGGCTTGCGGCCTGTATGGTTTGGGTGATTTTCTGCTTTATCGATCCAGTCTCAAGGGGCTTCATAGCATTGTGGTTCATCACTTAAACGTAAGCTTTGAGCTGCTCCGGTTTGGGAAGATCCCCCGGCAGCAACCGAGCATGCAAGCCCCAGCGAAGACTCGAGTCCTGAGTCTGGAGACCGCTAACCTCTCAGACTCCCAGAGCCCAGAGCCCGCCAGAGCCCTCATTGCCAGGGCAAGGCTCCCGGATCCAGCAGATGGTTTACAAGCTGCTGGAAGAGATGGGCATTCCTGCCGAGGCTTCAGCGCTTCAGGGGGCGTTTGGATTTTGTGGGCCTTCGGGCTTCACGGTTTCAGGGTCCAGGGCCTGGACGGCGGTTTACAAGAGCAAAGCTTGGAGAGGGTTTCGGGTTTAAACATTGACGCCTTTAAGCGCAGAGAATTTCGGAGACTTTCCCAAGGTTCTAAGCTCCGCTTGGGACCTGAGTTTCCCCTTGGAGGTCCCAGGCTTATGCTTCATTCGTTGTTTGGGCTGAAGCCCCCGAGCCAAATTTGGATTGCTTTTGATTGTGGCTGGTGGGTTGCTGATTGAAAATTACTTTCTGGAGTTTTCTCAGTGCTTCGTGGAGTTCCCGCAGTTCGTCCAGAGGCATATCAACTCCCCATTCCTTGCTGTCAGTCATGATTTCACGAAGACCGCTTTTTCGAGAATGCCGATGCCAGAGCTACAAGGCATAAGCCTTCTTTAGACCCCGAAGCTCTAACTTCTCAACTTGTTTATAACTCCGTCTGGAACTCCGAACAAAACCCTGAACAAAACCCTGGACCCCAAACGACCCTAAGTCGCAGAGAACGAACAGCTGAACCGTAGCTTGAGTATTGACCCTGCAGTACCAGTGTGGATACCTCCCTGCGTATGCCCGCGCTTGCGTGCATGCACACGCCAATGTTTGTGCATTTCAGGACACGCGCATGTGTATGCGCAAGAACTATAGTAACTATGAGCTGTAAACACATGTATACGAAAGCATATTCTAACTCCGCCGTTGTGTTTTGAAGTCCCCCCCCCCCCGCAGTGGGTTTTGGCACCGCATGTGTATGTTTGCAAGACGAGCCAAACCAAGTCGCACCGAACCGTTGAAAATGAAACCTCTCACAACCCCGGTCTAGCAGCAATCCCTGAGCAGAAAGCCTTGCTTGACATAAGACGAACAACACTGTCTAGCAAACGCCGCCGTCCAACACAAAACCGTGTAAAACCCCTGTCTGGCACAAGACCATGTCGCATTCACGGACTTGGCATACTTACTGGGCCGCGAACCACCATGTGGGCTGGCGGTTCGCCATTAACGATAGCATAACTTCAAGTAGAGATAAGGAAGTATTATGTGTTTATGTCATTATGTCAGTTTATGTATGTGTCTATATATATATATATATGTATACTGTATACACGATATCAAAACAAGCTGCGTACATGCGTACATACTTGCATGCATACAGAAATACGTACAGTACATACATAGATACATACATACATACATACATGCATACATACATACATATACAGACATACA